GAATTGAGTGAAGGTTTACAGAGCAGATCATCAGTTTTACATTCAACAAATCATATACTTTGCTTCATTAGATGGTTGTACTCCCCACCATGCACAGTAGTTAACAGCATTTACCTCTATTCACCTTAACCACTGCATTCCTCCCTGTGTCTTCTGCCACTACCATCTTTCCTCTGCCAACCTTCCTTCATTTGTACAGTGCCTGTCCTGTCACCCATGTCAATATGTGTCTACCCTCTAGCGTATGTATCATTTTCTCCTCCCCGCAAAACCCTCACAGATTGTTTCTTATCAGGAAAACCCTTCTCTTTTTTTCCCCCTTGATGTACACACACACACAAAAAAACAAAAACAAAAACCACACAGGGATAATTGTTGAAACAACCAAGAGGCACATTCTGGAAGCCAGTCTCTTTCCATGAGTCCAGCGTCCTCTGTTGCTCAGTCTCTACATGTCCTCATCTCTGCCTCCATCTCTGGTTAGGGTCCCTAGTTCAGATCATTGCTCTTCTCTCTTGATGGTCCTAGGGTCCATTCTTCCTGGAATGCAAGATTAACTACTCCCCCCTTTTGGTTACACATCTTCTACCTTTACAGTTGTGACAATCTCAGTTAGGTGTAATAACAATTACTCACTATTGAATCAATTAATCCTATCCCCATCTCCTTTCTCCAGACTCATGTAGACAAGAGGAAAACTGTACAGTGGGGATTCTACCTCCTCCCACATACTATGAGACTAAACTCCCTCTTGAAAAATTTTAAGCCAACCACTTCATGCCTTTATAGCCCCCTCATTTTAGGTAGCCAGTGACTAAGTTGCCTGTCCCTATCAATCCTACGTACAGAGGGAATAGGTTTGATCCTTGATGTGAAGATTCCTTCCTTCTTGGTTGGTATTTTGAGCTACTACATCCATAAATGAGTCGGAACCGACTCGACGGCACTTAACAACAACAACAACAACAACAACAAACATCCATAAATATAGGTCAAGTTCATCAAATTGTAGCAATTTACACTTGTTTCCTTTATCAAATTTATTTATCTTCCTCTAGTCAAATTCTGATAATCAAATCATCTAAGCTAGGTCAAATGGATACT